CGCTCAGTGTCATCTTGACATTAGGTATAGCTGTCAAACACTGATTTTCAGTGGGTGCCTAGTGGGTAATACCAGGCCTGTTCATCTCCGCGAGTTTACATCGAAAACAAAACACGCACGATGGCACACCTACAGGATACTATTCGACAAGGCCTCACATACGAGCGAACATTGACTCACGCACGCGTATTCTTGTGTATGATGGAAGAAAACAAAGAAAATGGTGTACTAAATACCGTGCAGTATTTAACTGCCTAAATGATAATAAAAACACGGAATGTACTTTGTTAAGTTGCCTCAAGACACTGAGAGGTAAATAAGTAGTTAATATTATTCATGATAATTCATGCTAAATCAAGTATTTCCTCCGCCATTTTCCGCAGTTTGGCACCTCACGTCACATCATTTTACCGAAGTCAGCCCTATAGCCAGGCCTGGCTCACTCCGCGCGGTACATCCGATAATTACCTACAGCGAAGCGCCCCGCCGGCGGGTATTATATCAGTCGAGTGTCACGCGCGCGTCCGTCAGGACGCTGGCGTGCGTTGTAGTATGTACCTAATTCTATGATCGAAGTATTATTTAAAAATGGACATAAAGAGAAATACATATTGTGCGGGGTTCGGGTGTTTAAATTCGAAAAGAAATCTACACCGGATTTATCTTTTTTTTCGCTTCCCAAAGATGCTGAAAGGTATGTTGGTCATGTAGGTAATCAATAATTCTTAGGATAGCATAGGAACCTAACCTACCAAGGTTTTCCATAATGAATGCGTACTTACCTACATACGTACCTCATTACATATAAGTAGATTAATTAATTTTTCACTAGACAGCAAGAGCAACCCTAACAACGTAAGAAGAGTTCAGAGGCACGCGATAGAAAGAGACAAAACTTGTAGGTGAATAAAATTGTAGGTACGTAGTGCTGTGCGAGCTGAATTCCACTGTATCGCGTCGTAGCAAGACTCGCATTTATTTAAATCGTCTTGCGGAGTAATCCTTCTGTACCTGTACTATTACTTATTCTGTGCTATAGCTTCGGCGCAGTGCCGATCACTGACGTTTGTCAACAAAATGGTGTTTGACTCTTGAGACAGGCTAAATTACACCATATTGTTAATAACATTGAGCATACATTTTTCGCTTCGCGAAGTAAAACTTCTGTATGTAGTACTTATTATTCTGTGGTAATACGTACCCCGGAGACTCATCTAAAAAAGGTCTTAATTCGGTGTGTAAATAAATTGTAGTTACAGCTTATTAATTCAGCCGACATGTTTTACTAGATAATACACATTACAAGTGTTGTTATTGGCTACAACAGCTCCATGGAGGGATCAAACAAGCGAGTTACATGTAATTACTGTTAATTAACATAACATTATACGTAATAAAATCATATTTTATTTATTAGGCTACTTAGTGTCGTGTTAATAATTCTTAATTATGATATATAATACTTTTATTAAATTAAATACATAAGTAGGTAAGCATTTTTTTATATAATAATGACACATTGTGTTGTGCCTCCTGGGAATCTATTCCAAGATCTTCCAAACGAATGAATCCAATTATTTTGTCTCTAGACACAAGCAATACACGTGTCAGAATGCCAAATCATTTAAATATTCGAAAAAATCTGCTATCTTTTCAACAAACACCGCACATCCATCGCGAAACCCGTTTCCCCAAATGGTTTAGTAAATAAAACGTGTAACAAATTAAAGTTAACTTTTCAGTTCAAAGCTTCGAGAAATATTCCGTTCGGTTGGCATTTTGACACTGAAGGGTAAAGTTTAATGAATATTGCATATTGCTATTAAATCGCGCATATTGGAATGTTTGCTTTGCCACCTATAAAAATGCTGCGTGTTTTTCACGTTGGCCGAAAATTCCCAGTGAGCTCCAGAAAAAAAATCCAGTAAACTACACTCGTGAGCTAAAGTACTTATGGAATCACCCTATTTGGTATNCTATTCGTCCAGAGCGATCTTATGAACTACTACTACTATTTGTACTACTACTCGTAAATTCCTAATGATGATCAATTAAAAAACTTAACAGACAGATTTTTGTTGCTAAATAGCATCTATTAACAACCCCCAGGTTGCTACAGAGTTTAGTTTGATGTGTTACTATCGTACCATTATAAAGGTTTTACTTTAAATTTTAATAATATGATACTCTAACTTAATTTAGTTCTTAAGATCGCTCGGAACAAAACTACCGGGCTTGGAACAAAACATACTCTTGCTTAAGTGTAGTTCTGTTAATGTTACTAGTTCTGAACTCAACTGCGCATTCCTGAGTTCAAGTACTTCGGATTCCAACACTCTCTCGCTACGGGCACAAAATATAACAGAAGGTAAACTCATGTATGCATACCTCTCTCGCTCGCACGCTCGGCCGTGCGCCAGGGTTGTCTTGTCATGTGTTGTGTTTATTTCGTTATGATAGAAAAATGTTACTCTTAATACTATGCAAGAAAGACAATAACAGATATCCACGTATACTTATTTATATTTAGTACGTTATTATAGTAATAGTTTGCAAACAAATACACGAGAAGGAAGTAGTATTTAGTTGAGTGGTTGACACTATTATCCAACTAATATTATAAATGCGAAAGTTTGGATGTCTGGATGTTTGTTGCTCTTTCACGCAAAAACTACTGAACGGATTATGATGTAACTTTGCAGTATTATTGTTTATAACCCTGAATAACATATAAGCTACAATTTATGACGATCTGTGACAAACTAAATTTCACGCGGGTGAAGCCGCGGGCAAAAGATAGTTATCCAATAATTCCTAAAACCTCTCTAAAACAATTCGATATTCCTAATAATTGAGTTGGCTTTCAATTTCAATTGAAATTCAAATAAATAACTTACTTACTTCCCCGAATCAACTGGTAATTTAAAAAATGAAAATTCGGTATTTAATGATGAGTTTAAGCAACCAAATACCGAACAATTATAATACGACTTTTTCTGTTCACTCATTTTCGTCAATTTCGCAAAACAAAATAATATCACAGGCGGTTGACCGGCGCGTGACTCAAGCGAACCACAGCGAACGTGTGGCGAACGTCTGTCGCGCCACGTCGCGCTCGCATTCGTCCAAGACAGTCTTGCTAGGAGCGGTGTCTATGTGTGCGTGGCTCGAGCGCGTTTAGTATGGAGTTTGTCTTCTGTTATATTTTGTGCTACGGGGACAAATTGAGGCGCACGCGACTAATTGTGTGCTTAGGAACGCACACAACTCATCAAAGTTTGGGTTCAACAAAGTCAATATTTGACCTCTCTATTCAGTGACAACAATCCATACTTGATATTTATAAATTCGGAAGTAACTTTGTCTGTTTGTAAGCCGTTCAAGAAATGTAATTAATTTGCTGTGGAAATTGATGGGACCTATTTATTGTAAATAGCCATTCTATAAAACTANATGACGATCTGTGACAAACTAAATTTCACGCGGGTGAAGCCGCGGGCAAAAGATAGTTATCCAATAATTCCTAAAACCTCTCTAAAACAATTCGATATTCCTAATAATTGAGTTGGCTTTCAATTTCAATTGAAATTCAAATAAATAACTTACTTACTTCCCCGAATCAACTGGTAATTTAAAAAATGAAAATTCGGTATTTAATGATGAGTTTAAGCAACCAAATACCGAACAATTATAATACGACTTTTTCTGTTCACTCATTTTCGTCAATTTCGCAAAACAAAATAATATCACAGGCGGTTGACCGGCGCGTGACTCAAGCGAACCACAGCGAACGTGTGGCGAACGTCTGTCGCGCCACGTCGCGCTCGCATTCGTCCAAGACAGTCTTGCTAGGAGCGGTGTCTATGTGTGCGTGGCTCGAGCGCGTTTAGTATGGAGTTTGTCTTCTGTTATATTTTGTGCTACGGGGACAAATTGAGGCGCACGCGACTAATTGTGTGCTTAGGAACGCACACAACTCATCAAAGTTTGGGTTCAACAAAGTCAATATTTGACCTCTCTATTCAGTGACAACAATCCATACTTGATATTTATAAATTCGGAAGTAACTTTGTCTGTTTGTAAGCCGTTCAAGAAATGTAATTAATTTGCTGTGGAAATTGATGGGACCTATTTATTGTAAATAGCCATTCTATAAAACTATTTTGTTTGATTGTTTTGGCCATAAAAACTGTGTCTTAGTCTGGTGAATATTAAAAGTACTATTGAATTATTAGTTTTTTGTCATACATTATACTGCTTAACAAAGTAAGATACGATTTTACCTATTAAACATAATGATTAATTTTATCAATCCGCTTAATTTTTATCATAGCATTATCAAGTAAGTAAATTGAAAATAATTTACCTACTTCATAATTAAACTTATTCTATTTGAACTGCTTTATGTTATAGATATGTGTTTAAAAACAACAAAATGGTTCCGGGAACAATCATAGCCCGCCCAACATCGCCGTTGGAAAATATTTTTCTCCTCATTCATTAATCGAATCACAATAGAAATTTAATTAATTCCACTGAGAGTATTGTTCAATATCCTGTATTACCTTTGCTAATTAATTGTACGCAATAATTGTTAATTAAGTGGTTGCAGTAACAATTGCAAGTATGTTGTCGATTTGCCGCGTCTGTTTTGTCTTGGAATTAATTACGTGTTAGTTTACTTTACATTGAAGGCAAAAACAAACACAATATATGAGAATATAAAAACATCATTCATGGCTAAGGCAGTGCATGAAGTTGAAGGCACGGATGTTGGTTTAGGTATCTTAATTCCATAATTTTATGACGTGAATTTTATTGTATTAAAATCTTAAGTTTGTAAATTTAAAAATTCGTTGTACTAAATGCAAGGGCTGTAAAGTATGGGTGGAATGGCATTGCCCCATCCTTTAGACATAAAAATACACAAGCTCTTTCTACTTTATGTTTTATCTCCTAATGTTCAAAGTTTATTTTACAAATGTTATTTTTTGCTTTAGGAGCGCCTCCTGCTGTCGGTTCTTCCCCGCCACGTCGCCATGGAGATGAAGGCTGACATTGCCAGCCAGCCCCGACAGGAGCAATTCCACAAGATCTACATCCAGCGCTATGAGAATGTCAGGTATGTAATATACATTAGTTTTATAAGAATCTATCCAGTATACCTAGTGCTAGTGCTTCATTGGTCAATAATAAGTGATCAAACAAAAATGGTACTCAAATGGGTATCCAACTATTTTTCTACAGAACCAATAAGTATCTTAAGTCCTAAAAAACTAATTTTTTTTTTCAAGTTATTTAAAATTAAAAAAAACAGATGTGTTAATAATAAAAGACTAACGACAATTTGTAAGGAAAGGCTATTTTTTGGAAAACTTCGACTTCGTTATCTTGGGAAAGTTGTTACAATTATCGTAAATCTATAATTATCCAGTTAGGTATACATCGCCTGATAGGGTGCGCGTCTCAGATCATAGTCTATGATCTGAGGTGCGCGTCAATTTAGATGAAAGGGAAAATTAGTTTAGCAGGTACAAGCAAATGACGTCCAAACGTTGTGGGCATATGGACTGTTCTTCTTTGCAACATCATCTGCATTCCGGTGTATGCCCACCCACGCCTAATGGCAATGGTATAGCCTGACCAGGAACATAAAAACCCTCGCCATGTTGCGGAAAATTAATGGTACTAATTTCTTTTAATGGCAACAGTAACTGAAAACTTCATTGACATGTCACCTTACATGTCAGTCTATTGTTGTCAAAGTGTAAACAAACTTTATTTTAAATGTGCGCAATTGATTTTGTGAATTAAATTGCTAAAATATTTTTATAGTCGTGAAAGAAAAGTGGTTCACAATGTGTTAAAGTATTTGTCGAAGAGAAATACTAAGGGTTCGGACAATATTTTCATTGAATAATGTTTCCGACAAAGGTTGTCAAATTGACTGACATGTTTATCGTATAGTACAGTCAACTATGAAAATTTGCTGTGGTTTGTTTCAACTACCTATTTTAAAGTTGTTTGTCACTTTGTAAGTGTTGAATTTTATGGAATTGGGAAAGAAGTACCGAGTTTGAAGCGTTCATGAGCAGACATTGTAGTTGAATATTCAAGTTTAGAATTTGATTATTGATGAATAATAATAAAATCCTACTTGCTCGATTGATGGTTTCATTTAATTTATTTAAACCAGTTTACCTGTTTTATAATATTTTTTGTTAAATTATGAAAATATTAAATTAGCCCATAATTCTGAATCCCGATACATAAAGTTAGCCTATTAATTTAACACAGGTACGACTGTACTCAGTGTTGCACTATCAAATGCAATTGACGCGCCTCTATGCCAGGGTTTTTATGTTCCTGGTCAGGCTATAACTGATTTATTTATCCATGATTTCATAACGTGAATCTCGTCGACCATGGTGGTCATTCTAGTTGACAGATGAATAAACCATCTTTAGATATATTAATAACTTAATAAAAAAAAAATGTTTATGAGAATTAAAAAAGAAATAGAAAATACGATCCCTTCACTACGTCTTTATGTTACACTCTACGTTTTATTACGTACCTATCAATTCAATGCAAACCTCTTTGTTTTACTATACTATATGATACTCATTTTTGACCGCTGCAAAGCTATTCCATTTGCATCTTACCGTTAAGGTGGCCAGGCTTACGGTCCGAGTGACAATCTCGATTATGGGTGAGGCTTTCCGAATTTGATTATCTACTCGAATGTACAGTAGAAAACACATGAGTCTATACATTCTTGTTGCAAAATCGCCCCTATTGCAACTAGATAAGATTCCACAGTGCTTAGCTTGACGTGTCGTGTACTATACGATGAATCGGACGTATGACCCTACGCTTATCCACCCTCCGACCCCTACACGTGGACACTAAAATCGATTTCTAAGCCTCAGGGAACGAAATAAAGGGTTCGTGTTTTGATGCAGATCAAATTTCGTAATTTAATAGACGCTTGAAATTGTGTTATCTCATTTTAAACGGACATCAGTTCAAAGTGGCCATATTATTATTTTTATGATTAAAAACATAAAATTCCACCAGATGTGTCGGTCTGATGATTTTTTTCTATAAAATTTGACAGCGGCGGTGGCGCGGAAATGTGCGGAGTGGAGAGATGTAGAAATAATGAAACCTGATTGGTTATTCAAAACACGTCTTCTCTGCTCCGCTCCGCTCTGTTCCGCCTTGGTGGAAACCGGACCTTACTCTCTTATTCCATTCCTAACTCCTTTGTAAACTTTAGAAGAGCCACCATAAAGTTCTACAAATATTATCGAGATACTTGTACTAAATAACCCTTTTTTCGAGTCCTGTCCCTTCAAGGTGCGTGTGTGTGACCCTTTTAACCAAATTATAAAGTATGGCCACGACTAACTCAATATCATTTCGCAAACTGAAAACCATAAATGAAAGTGTACCCGAGCCGTGGGACGGAAATGTTTAGCCCCAATAATGTTTCGTCTCGACTGCCCTTCCCGCTATCTTTAAACTTGAGTAGGGTAGCACCAAAAAGTGCAAATCGAGTAATTGTTTTACTTATTCTTGTTTTGGGTAGCTGAGTTGTGGTATTTACAATCTGCTACTACTTATTTACTTCGTTTCTTTCTTGTTATGTGGATTTAAAAACGTATCTTACACCTAATGGTGGTCAAACGTTCAAAAAAGATTGACGCAAACGCAATCTCTGTGTAATATACGAGTAAAATAATATATTTAGACTAAGAGCAAAAATTAAAGCTTAATTATTTACTTGGAATAAATTAATTAAAAACTTAATTGTTTGTTTTGCTTGCCTTCAACTATTTATAATAGGCTCGAATCGACAATTGAGTCGTCTAGTTTCAAAACCCGCTAAAACGCTCCTGCAACGAATTTCTGTTTATATCTCTAAATGACGTTACTGCAATTTTCTCATCATACTGTTCAATCATTTTCGATCAAAATTCACTAAAAGACTACTAAACTAGCACTTAAAATTTGGTTTGTGTTACAAACTCCGCTAAAACGCCGTCCGTTTCTTTCAAAACCCTCTAAAAGTTGATTGACCAATGGCAGCACGGTATTTTGGTCACGTGACTGCGAAATCAGTATGGAGATTTTTTCATAACATGCTTAAGGTTGCTGCGGTTTTTTATTGTTTTTGATCCAAAATAATGGAAGATTTGTCTCAGTTCGTGGAAAAATGTAACCCTAAAGACGCAAGAAAGAAACCATGTAATGAAATAGCCTGGAAACGCACCAAGGATCGCCAGAAACGGAAAGAGAAATTTGTTAAAAAACTACTTTTGAAACAGCTTTGATGGTGTTATGCAAAATTAACCATTTAGCTGTCGTTGGTTATTGTTACTATTAAGTGTTGGTGATCACTACTGGGATTATAGAAACTTCACTAGCTCAATGCCTTTAGACGAATTTAATTATAAAGGTATGTTACTTTTTACCCGAGTGCAGGAGGGTAATGTGTTTCGAGAGTAGGTAGGTATGTATGTGTGTAATGTGTATGTTTATATCCCTGTACAGTCAGTCAGTGAAGTAAATAAATAAATATCGTGGGATGTTTTTTTTTATGTGACAGGAGGCAAACGAGCAGATGGATCACCTGATGTCCAGATGTCTAGGAATAAATATTATGTTATAAAAAGGCAAAGACGAGATTGAGAAAATAATTTATAAAAGTTTCTTATTTACATGCTGTAATTTAATTGTTTTTTTTTTAATAACCCGATAAAACTTGATTAATCTAATAACCTAACCAATAAGTGCAATAGCTTTGAATATTATAGAATGGACAAATTATACGGACAATTATTTATTTTATCATTTTTTGGGTTATTTAATATTAGACTTTATTGTAGAACGCCATTCATGCATTAAAATTTGTTCTTATCAAATCCCGCTAAAATACAACATGTCCGTTTCAAATCCCATTAAAACGGAATGTTCGTAACAAAGTACGCCAAAATGAAAATAGTTTTCATTATAATTCAAATTATATTTAATTTAAAGGTGAATAGGAATTACTGTTAGTTTTGCAAGATGACAATAATAATTCGTATCATATATTTTTTTGCCTAAGGCCAAAGCTATAAGATAAGCGGTTTTTTTCAATTTCTCGAAATCTTATCAAAATCGTTTTAGCGGGATTTGAAACTAGACGCCTCAATTCAGCATTGAAGACTAGGTACTATGTATTGTATTATCATTGGGCAGAGAAGGTATTTTCTAAGAGTGAATTTTTATTCTAGATCTACAGTTTGGTAATTACACAGAGTATTTATTATCCAAGAGAACAGTGCCTTTTTGATGGAAAATTACCCTGACCTCTTTACATAGCGGGCTTATAATCCCGAGGTCACGTAGACGTTGAGTTTTGAATAGACGTTGATGACCTAAAGGACCGGACAGAATATTTATCTCGCTTTTGTCTTGTCTTTTACTGTGTACATTGTTCAATGGACATTTAAACACTGCCAATGTAGGTTTTACAATGTTTATAAAAGAATTGAAATATTTTCGTGAGTAGGTAAGTAGTTTTTTGGGAGATATTTTATGGCATTGGATGCCTGTAAATAATATAAAAATGAAATAAAATTGTGTTAAATAATATAGAGTTTGGAAGACACATTAGGTTACTGTTTTAATCAAATCAAATATTTCATTATATTTTATTTTTTATCTCGCAATTCTTTTCATTTCGTTAACATAGGTTTTTAATATGATTAGTTGGAACTTTTAAAGTTATTAATAAAATAAACTTAGTTTTTACAGTGTTCTTTGTGATATTATTATAATGTATTTATGTCTATGAGATATGTCCAATAGAGAGAATGAACCATTGAATGAATTGGTTTTATTTCGCATTATAAGAAAATACGGCTTTATAAAATCTATATCTATCTAAACTTGGAAATAGACCCTTACAGCCAGTCAGGTCACCTAAGGCCCATCATCAGGATTTAAACCTATTTACAGAATTGTTTCTTTCTTATTTTATTTTTAAAAATTAGCTAATCCTGTATTGCTTGAAACTCAGTAAGGAGCTTTTTTCTAAATGTGTCTACACATCACAAGGAAAATTCTCGT